CTGTTTTGTTTAACAACCATGGCAAAAAGTTGTAAAATCAGGTGCAATTTATTAATAACTGCCTTGCTTAGCAGCAGAAATTCTAATCCCACTTGTGGTTGAAAGTCTGGGATTGCCTATATTTAAATCAATTAAAAACTTTAAAAAATATTGTGGAGCAAGAATATTGGAAAATATCGGTTGCCTTATGTTCTGCTTCTGAGCTTCTGGTAGACTGCCAAGTGGATTAGATGCTGAATTTTGATGGCATTTGCAAGACTTTTCTTCTTAATCTTAATCTCACCCCAACAAGATCCTCCCTCCACAGTGGTGCCAGCTAATCAATTAATATATTACTTTTCAAACTTTGCAATACTAAAATAATACATTAATTTGCATTAATGTATCATTAATAATAATACATTATTAATGGTTCTATGATTAGTTAGGAAATAAATACACTACTTTTAATGATTAAATGTTAATCTGTATTATCATAAGAAACTGCAGGACAGCAACTACCTACTGTATCTGCGTAAGCAAAATGAGGACCAATGCCCAAACCCAGTTTGATGTTTTCACTTTGCCTGCAAAAGTCAGATCAGATTTTTAAAAAAAATATTGTGACATAAACTCCTTTTGCAAAGTTGGTCACTATTTTCCCAAAGTCTGGATCCACAATTTGAAAAAAATGTGGGATTAATAACTATGGTGACAGAGTTAAAATTGGATGCTATATTCAATGGATATAACTACAAGCTATTAACAGCACTCTTTGTATTGCACAATTTTGTTTATTTACTTGAGAATTTTTTTTAAAACAGCTTGGCTTTGGTTTTACTTGTTTGTCACATGTACATTAACATTTTATTGCAGCTGCCTTGGAAATTTTTAATCAAAACATATTGGTATTTAGTATGTCTCTACTTTTCAAGTGTAAATACTCTATTTTTCTCTATGCTTTTTAAAACTTTTCAGGGCTCTTGTTCTCACTTCTGTTTTGCTTGACAGACAAGAGTCTCAAGAAGCATTAAAACTTGAGAACAATCAATCAAGAGTTCTTTTTTCCTTTTCATCTGTCTTTCTCACCTCTGGGTTAACTGTCCTTTCTTCATCTCCTTGCTTTCTGTTCTGTGAACAGCTGTTATTTGGCTTCATCTATATTTACAGTAGTTCCTGACTTTCTTGCTGTCATTTGTGGGCTTTTCTCCCCTGCTCCAACCCTCTTGCTTATAATTACAACAAAATCACAGAAAAGGATGGTTGAATGGTAGGATTTGTGTCCTTGATTTCTCAGCTACTGATACTATATGTCCATGTCTCTCTGTGCGGGGCTATTCTAGGCTGCTGCATCTTGTTTGGGATGGTAACGGTGATGCGGAGTTCTATAAACATACGCATATATACACATATACATATGCACATACACCCAGAAGATATGCACATGTGACTTAATAAAACAGACTGTGCTTTTTTACAACAGCAGTGAAAACAGAGGGTATGTATCTGATGAGTCACCATAGCCCTTGTTCATTCACAATGTGCCAAATCGACTGCAAGTCACTCAGATATAGAAAAGAAGAGTGTGAACTGTAGCAGTAGCAGTGTTACTTTGGGAAGTGCAAATGAAGCTGCAGAAGTAGTGCTGAGTTCTGCTCAAGTTGCCAATCTGTGAGAAATCTCCTTCTCTGTGTCTCTCCTTCTCCTTCTCTCCCTCTCCTTCTGCACTGAGGCTTGAAAGCTGTGTTTTCTGCTTGAAAAGGCCTTCCACCTGAATCCTAGAAGGGCACTTAATATTTCCTTTTATTGCTCATTAATGTTGCAAAGCTGAGAATCTTATAGGGATAACATTTCAAGGCTAAGCATACCTGTCCTCTGATATGCTGATAATTTTGAGCCAGAGTAACAATACGTTTTAAACTAAAGCACATCACGAGCTCTTACTTTGGAAAAGCATCTGTTTTCTGCAGCCAACATGCTGAGATCCCACCTAGCTTGGAGACATATTGCTTCCAGATGCAGGTTGTTTCAATCTATCCATCATTTGGGGGTTAGATGATATTTCTTTTGCCCCTGTCCAGTGGATTACAGTCTTTACTGATGTATAAACTCATACCTATTTTTGAAAACTGTCCTTTGATGAACCTTGCCATGCTATTTTTGTTTTATGTCCACCTGAGATTGGTCTTTTTTCTAAGGAATTCTCTGTGCTGATAGAGGTACATATTGTTTCATTAAAGTTTTGCAATTATGTTTGCAGGCTTAGGAATCCAAGGTTTGGGTTGCTCGGTATTGTCCTTAGCAACCCCTAGGACTTAACAAACTAAGGACAAAGTAGTATCCTTAGCAAGCCCTAAATCTTGGAAGGAAATGCCAAACTTTATTTTTAAATATGTTTTGTCCTACATAGTTCCTAGAGATACACAAGTTTAATTAGCTGGGGATTTCCCTCACTTCTCTTAAAAGCAACCCTCTTAGTGTATAAAGATATAGAGCTCAGTTAACCACACTTTAATTTCCCCCCCAAATCTTTTGCCTTCAACTGGTTCTCTTTATTGTCTAATCTGAAAGTGTCAGTGTGTCTGAATGTTCAGGATGGCAGTCATGACTGTGTGATTGAAGCTCTGCCGCTTTATTATGTGTGTCACATAATACACATGTGTAAAAAAAGGATAGAGCTTTGATTGCCTGGGAATAGCTGCCATCTAAATTTCTTCCCTCCCCAAGCCCAGTCTGTTGATACATCTGGGCTAGGGTACATATTACTGAGATAGTGAGGTAAGATTTTCTACTGGTGGTGAAGGAGACAGTTTTGCAAAGTGCTTCCTTAGAAAAAAAAATAACACAAAACTCTGTAAGTAAACATAATCAGAACAAATGAGCAATAGCTGTCTTGCTGCTTTTTGACACAAATTTTTATTTGTAGAGAATTTTTCATAAATAGGAAGTTTCAAAAATAGCAGTCCTTGCTGCCATCTCAGTTTGCAACACATGTGGCCTAGGCCACCAAGAGATTTATTTTACAAGATTTATCTGTGATGAATACTTCTTGTGTCATTTTTCCAGACCTTTGAATCAAGGCCCAAATATGTGTAAAATGGTAACATTGAAAACCAATAATTTGTGTGTCTGCACAGTTTCTTAAACAAACCTTCAAAAGTTGGTTAGATGAATATCCCTGAAGATGATCCTTATGTCTGGTTCATAAGTATCATATTTTCATCTACATCTTCATATTGATTTAGGAAGCCGCGTCTTGATTTTAGACTTGGAAAAGACTGAAGATGTGGGAGAATTTGTGGCACTCTTGTCCAGGCATCCTAAAATGTTGGTAGATAAAAAAGCCAACACATTGGCAATGGTTGGCAAAATAGTCTTAGAAACAAGTTGTGCTAATTGGAAATTGGCATCCGTTTATGAATAGATTTCTTTGGAACCTTGAAATATTCATCCATCCGTTCATTGTGATATGTCTCATGTTAAACCCCTCAACAGATGCCAGATGCCTGAGACTGGCATGACATTTACAACCGACTTGGATTGTAAATCTCTGCAGTAGGCATGGAAGGTTTAGCGTCTGTTCTATATCTTGCAAATATTTTTTTATTTATTTTATAATAAATAAATTTTTACTTTGCAGCATAGTTATTAGTGTTCTCCTTTGGAGTAATGAAAATTAGTACGTTTGAATATTTAATTTGTCTGCCCATCTTCATGAAAGGAGGTCAGGAAAAATACAAACTCATTTTAAATACGTTCTTCATTAATATCATGTCCCTATAATGATAACATTGAACTCCTAGACCATAGTTAAGGATTTTAAAGGAAATTTCTTTTTTTGGGGGGGGTATTAGTTATATAAAGATATTGAAACTCAATCTACTTGTGGCTTTTATTTCCAAGCCTCTTTGACTTCCTTGTCTTGAATTTCTGAATCCACAATTCTGATGTCTGCTCAGCCATGTGATTGGAGCACCTCAGTATAATACTGTAAGCAATCTCACAAGGGCTATTAAAAGCATGAAATAATGAGGGCAAAAGATAATAGGATCTGCTCTTTGTAAAGAGATGTTTTCTTTGATTATTTAGCAATAGCAGCAAAAATGGCTTTTCCTCCCACTTTCTAAATTATAACCTAACCATTGATTCTTAGGTAGTCAAGCAACATAATCTACACAAAATAAGAGGGTTATCAGCAGGATTAAAGGGATTTTAATATTTCAGAAATGCAAAATTTTTAAGAAGAAAAAAATACGTTTATTTTTAATCCTATGATAGGGTAGAACTTGGTCATTGAACAGGACATGATTACTCAGTAGAGGAAAAAGTTGTAAACATATTGAATCAATCCTGGAAAAAAAAATGGGTAGCTAGCTGAAAATCTGAAATATAATATTTTGTTGTGACTCCCACTTGTTATTGTCAGCCACAAACAAACTCTCAAACCCTTTCCCAAGGATCCAGACTGTTATCAACCTTCCATGACACTGGAGCAACCAAGATAATGGCAGTGTTCCCTATGCCATCCGTCTGGTAAACTTGCAAGATTTGTTTTTCTCGCCATGCACATGTATACATAACTCGAACTAGACTGTTGTTTCTCTGTGTCATATAATATACGTGGGTATATGCATAATTCTGTATTTATTTATTTTTGATATATTTATGTAGTGTGTATTGGAGATGGTGATCCTTTGAGAGCTGAATGCAACAAAATTTCATTTTAATGTACGCTGATTAGTGTACATTCAAAGTGACAATAAAGTTATTATTCTATTCTATTCTATTCTATTGTAGACTTCATAAACAACAAATCATGTTTAGCTACTGATGTGCATAAAATTGTAATAGTATATCCATGAAGTTTGTCTTTGACAGTTTTATCATGCAAACAGAAGTACTCTACTTGCTGCAAGGCTCTTCTTTAAGGATAGACAAACGTGCACACGTAGGCCATGATCTCAGCACTCTTTGTTGCTAATTGTTCTACTGCAATCATGAACTCTCTTTCTAATCTCCAGCTATGGACTTGAAGCCGGTTCTTCCCATGGTGATGCAGAATTCTTGCAACAGCAACAGCAGCCCAGTGGATTTGCGGATGGATTCCCGATCCAATGTGCCCACTATGGACCCAACTGTCCGGGAGCAGCAGCTGCAGCAGGAACTGCTGGCTCTGAAACAGCAACAGCAATTGCAGAAGCAGCTGCTCTTTGCCGAGTTTCAGAAGCAACATGAGCACCTAACACGGCAGCATGAAGTCCAATTGCAGAAACACCTCAAGGTAATTTGGAGATGCTCACCAAGCTGTCTCCTTCTGAATCATACTTTTGGTGTCACATCCAGTATTACCTATTTGAACTTGCGGCAGTTGTCAAGAATCCTAGCCCAATGGAAATCCTTTGAACAGGATTGTACCTGGAATGGTATTCATACAATACTTTGTTTTGACACAGAATGACATAGGCTAATGATACTAGTGCCAGCTGCATGTTTCCTAGAATAAAGATCAATAGTTAAAGCAGAATTTCAGGCTTGATGAGGCTACATACAAGCAAGATTGAATATTGATAAAACCCAGACCTAAGATGCTTGGGGGTTTGGCTAACATTTCCTCTGACATTATAGAATGTAGCATGTAGCTTCTCGAGGTTTCAGTCTTGTGATCTGAGACTCCCATCCATGATAGCTGTGGCCCGAATTACCATTTATCTCCTTTATTTTACACTTTTCCTCTTTCTTCCTTGATCTTGTAACCATTGGCTACCACATCTAAAATGCAAAAATAGCCAGTAGATAACACTGCTGTATAATAGTTGTCTAGAATTTGGCAGCCAAACTAAGCTAATCCTATCCATCCTCCTATTAAATTAATGGCTCTTCCTAGACATTGGAAAAGTGCTGAATTCTACAGGTTGGCACCTGATATAGACAAAGCAGGAAAGTATTCCAGGTTGCATTAGTCTGCATTCCATGATAGTCTGTATGTTTCTGAGCCTAATTACCAATCTTAGCACTCAGGGACCTGATCCTATGTCCCCCATGCCAGTGCTTCTTCCCATTTTCTTCTTTGCTCTTTTCTGTTGGTAAATCCTTGCTATGAGTTCCGTCTGTTATCTAGACTGTTCCAGGGATCAGGATCTTTTCTGATAGAGCATTCTTATTTTAGAGCTCCATTCTGGGAAGAACTATTTATGTTGGGAATGGGATGTATGTATCAATCAGCTTTTTCTAATTTTGGATTGGCAAGTACGGTGTGTCATTTCTGCCTTGTTTTACTGTTTTCCTCACCATCAAAATGCAAAGCTCTTTATGAAAGAGAGACCTCCAAGCTCAATCAACCAAGCTAGAATTTAAAATTCAATGCAAATGAAAATACTGGTAAAAATAAATCTGCATTCACTTCAGTTACATTTAATTAGCTACTCGGGATTGGAATAGGAATTCCTTTCCTTTAGGCACTATACTACTGTAAGAGACAAGACTCAAAAATTGCATAGATTCTGTATCTTTTTATTTGGAAGTCCTTAGACCGAATCCAAATGGGGAGAAAAAATCTAGGTATTGGAACAGTGATTTTTTTTTCTAAAACATGATCAAAGAACGTTATGTGCTGTTGTTTTCCAATTTGCAGAATCCAGAGATAAGAATTGCAGTGGTTTAAATTCTGGCACATTCATCTCCAAGTGTGATATTATGTTTCTCTAGCACAGGAGATGGAGAATCCACCAATGGGTTAGCTCTGCCTTCCTGCCCATTCAGACCAGGTCAGCCAAACTTGCCACACCTGTCCTGGGCTAGGACACACCCAGTCTTGACCTGGTCTCCAGCCCTACAAGACGTGGCAATCTTGACTCCCAGAAAGAGGTAGGATAGAGCTTACAATTGGTGAATTCTCCTATAACATCCATGTTCATTCTCAGCAGCGCTGGGATCAGCACTGCTTTGAATGACTGGTTGAAGATAGACAAATTTTTTTCTTTTAGACTCCTAAGGAGAACAGAGGCTTCCGTTCTCCCTCCATCCAGTCCCATTTGGATTGTGCAGCGCTGGGATCAGCGCTGCAGTCTGAGGTTAAAAAAAATTTTCTTTTGGGTCCGTAAAGAGAACGGAGACTTTCGTTCTACTTTCATTCATTTTACTTAGATTCTGCAATGCTGGGATCAGCACTGCAGCCCGAGGCTCTTCAAACCTCCCGGGGGGGGGGGATTCTCCTGGCGGAGGTCTCATTCGGCTGAATCCTTTTTAAAGAGAGTAAGTGCGCGAAGCAGTGCCTCAACAGACACTGCAGAATCACGGAGGCGGAGGGTTCCTTTTCCTGCCGTTTCAAGCGGCCGCCATTTTTTTTGACCCAGAGGGCTCCTTTCCTGCCGTTTCAAGCGGCCACCATTTTTTTTTACCTGGAGTGCTCCAGTCGCCTTTTTGGCTACCGGAAAGAGTCGCGGCAGCCGAGTAAGTTCCCGGCGGGGTTTTTGAGAACCCCCTATTGACTCCGTATCTTCAGCCTTCCGTTTTTCCCTCGCAGGCCGATCGGGCAACTGCCATCTTAGGCCGTGGCCCGTCTTGCAGCTGGGGCCATTTTCGGCCTATTCTCACGTGATCTTAATTCTATTCCATCCCCTCGGTTAAAGCAACCCTAGGATTGTATTGGGTTTTTAACAGCTGGGGTCGTTCGGCCTTTCCGGCCCACGCTTACCAGGCCAGCCTGCATTATTACCAGCGCCCTGTGCTGCTGCCATTTGTGCATGTGGCCTGCCATCGCCGCTGAGCTGCATCACTGGCACTCACTGGTGCAATTCATTAACTTGGCCACCCCTTAGCGGGCTAGATCCAACCCGCCAGGCGAGCGTGAAGACACCTCGTCATTACCAGGAGCTCTACGTGCAAGCAGGTTTGCTGTGGCCGTAGACCCGACCAGACCCAAATAGGGGGACAGTCTGCCTCCCTCACCAGTCGGGTGGCCAGGGGAGCAGGGCGGAACAAACTATTGCCGTGGCAACCCCCTGCTCCACCTGCTCAGCCTAAACCGCCAACTGATCCCCTACAGAGCTCGCTCTCAGTACCCCTGAGATAGCTCATCCCAGGATGGAGGACTCCACGGTGTCTCAACCCAAGAACACCGCCTCCCCATCCACTAGCCATAAAAGGCAGAAATCCTCCAATCAGGAGGCGGCAGGCAGGATCAAAGCCAAGGCCAAGACCATTTCTGGAAAGAAGCCTTCAAAAGTGGCAGAGAAACAGACTAGCAGAAGGCATCAGGCTTTGAAGAAGGAATTCTCCAATGCGCAGAAGCAGGCCAGGGCGAAGGTGGAGCAGACAGAGCACGTGGACTTTGATCTCCCTTTCGGGCCCTTGACTTGTACTCAAGGGGTCTGGTTTCTGGAGGAGAGTCCCACCGCAAACCCTCTCTCTTCTCGGGTGGATCAATTCCAAATGACCCACCAACCATCATTGCCACCGCGGGTCTCACATTCGGTTCGAGAGGCCACTTTTACCCCCACAGCGGCTGGACTCAGGGTAGCCGAGCCCGAGGGCTCACCTTCTGAAGACCGTCTCCAAACCCTGATCACCCAGGCGGTGGACCGGGCGCTTGCTGCCAGGTCTCACCACGTGCTCAGACCCGAGTCCATGGCTTCCATGTCCCCATCCTTCTTTCAATCAGGTGCACCTGAGTACCCGGGTCCCTCTTCACTGTCCCGGTCCTCTCTCAGCAGGGCCTCATCTCCTTCGGGGGAGGACCAACCTGACGTCATGGTGGGAGGATGAAGACCCTCCCCCAGACCCTCCACCATTTGGAGGTCTATTCAATCCGGCCCTTTTCCTGCCACTGCTCCGCAGGGCCAGTACGACGGCCAACATAGGCCGTGACCAGACCCCTCAGTCAGATCCACAGCTCAGATTCAAACCGGGTGTTCTTTGAGCCCGTCGTAACTCAGTACCACGTTCCTTGTCCAGCACTCTTTCGGAACGTGGTCTGGAAGCAATGGGTATCACCTGGCACCTTCCCCCCCCCGGGGGGAACGGACAGGAAACTGTTCAGCGCAGCGCCAGACTTGGCGGAGGACCTTAATGGTGCCAATGGTGGATGAAGCCTTTGGCCCCCTCTTGTCCTCGTCCACCGTGTCAGGGGATATGGCAGAGGCGCTAAAGGCTGAGGACAGGAGATGGGAACTGGCCTTCCGCAGGACTCACCAGGCAGCAGCGTGGGCGGTTAGAGCTGCCACTTGTGCATCCTTCTTTGCCAGGACGTCCCTACTCTGGCTCCGTCAACTACAAGCCACACTTCCCCCGGAGGAGGTACGTACCCAACAAGACCTGAGCAAGCTCGTTGCAGCATCGGAGTATGTCTCAGATGCGATACTACATGCAGCCAGGTTCTCATCCAGGTCCATAGCAGCCAACGTCTCAGCACAAAGGATGCTATGGCTAAAACATTGGCAAGCTGACCCAAAGTCCAAGTGGCATCTAGCCACGGCCCCCTATCAGGGTGGTCAACTATTTGGAGAAGCTCTGAGTCCTTATTTGACCAAAAATAAGGACAAGCAGAAGGTGTTGGTCCACCTCACAAACGGGCCGACAGGCGCGCTAACCCGTACGTGCGCAGGCAGTCCTTTCGGCCAGGAATGGGCTTGGGCTCCACTCAGCCTCCCCGCCCCTTCACGGCCAGACAGGATCGCCCGGCTGAGAGGACCGGCCCCAGACCCAGATAACAATTCCAGAGCAAGCGGCCCTTTCGAGGGGGGGTCACCCTCATAGAAGATCCAAATGACTCCCGAGCTACCCCCTCCATAGGTGACAGACTGGCGCTCTTGCCCACCAGTGGGAAGCCATCACCACAGATTCCTGGGTCCGTCAGACCATTCGATACAGTCTATCCCTGGAATTCGTGTGCAGACCCCCAGAGCGCTTCATTCCTTGCCGCTATCAAAGAACCTGGCTGGGATGGAAGACTCCGGTGGGGGGAGTTGGAGGGCCTTCGCCCGGCGGAGGTCCGAAGGACTCGCCCGAGTAGAAGACCTTGCTGGGACGGAGGACGTGGCGGGGGCTTGGGGAGCGGCTCCCTAAATTGACCAACTCCACGAGGACTGTTTTCTTCCCCCCTTTTTTGGGTTCCCTGCTGCCGGACCCATCGCTTTACCCGGAATGTACTCCAGGACAGATCTGCTGGTCCTGCGCGATTCCCCCCTCACGCAGGCCTGGCCCAGTACAATCCCAAGGGCCTGCCTCGATGAAGGGGTGTGGAGCCCCGAGAGGTGGTATGCAGCAGACAGGAAAAAAATGAAA